AACAGAAAATTGGGCCCGTTCTCGTTGTCGCAGAACACGTCCGACCTCATCTGGTTCAGGATCGGCCCGACCACCACGCCGCGGCCTCCTGAGAGCCAAGAAAAAACCGTGAGGCTTCCCGTTTCTGAAAACATGGCCGACCTGAGGTCTGCGGGGCTCCGGACCTGTGAGTTTGTCGACCCCGGCCTCGGCAGCCACGTTGGACAGAGCCACGACTCCTTTGGACAGATCACTGGCACCCACGTCCATCTCGATGAGGATGTGGGGGCCCACCCGGCCCTGGGCGTAGTTGGCCACGTACACGGCATAGCGACCCGTTCCCTGCAGGAGGAAGGACAATCTGATTTTTAAAATTCAGACAGAGCAGCTGGTTGTATGGTCTTGTTGTATTTCTTGTTTTTTTGTTTGTTGTCTTCCCCTTTCTCTTTCTGTCTAAAGGATCTCTCTCCTTTCCACTGCTCTTCTCTCTTCCCTGTCCCTCTGTCAGGTTCGGCATTATTGGACACGTGTAAGTTTGGTAACAAATTAATAAATAAAGCCGTTTTGGGTAATCAAGAGAGGCTTCTCACTAACAAAGCAAATTGGAAAAGCAATTTTGTTCAGCATAGCACGGTACTCAGATTTCAGTTCTGCTGCCATAATGCTGAACAGGACAAGGGGAAAAAAATAATAAATAAAAAATATAAATACAGAGGGGGAAGTGAGCTAAATCAAACCAAGAATAGAGCGAGTTTGCTGACCTTTCTGTCCACACATGCCACTGAGCGTCCCGCCATGTTGTTGGCCACTTTACGGCGGATATTGAGTTCATCGCCGAGCAGATCCTCATAGCGGCCGTTACGGAACTTAAAGAGCTTGTCGGCATAAGTCGCTCGACCTACACAAAAAGACACATTTTCAGAGGGAAAAAAGAACGAAAAAAAACTCACATCTGGAATGTTATGCAGAATTGATGGTATATGTAATGATGTTTACCAGAGTAGGCATTGTTTGTGTTGAGGAAGTAGATTTCCTCGCGCCCGTCTCCATCCACATCACAGGCCGTGACTCCAATTGCATTTCCTCCTCTGTCCCTCAGTGCGTAGTAGGGCGAGTTGCTATCATCAATAGCAATGTTCACCAGCTTGTTTAGGGTGCGGTCGTACTTCAGCACCAGGTTTGGTCCGTTGTATCTGAAAGGAACCAACACAAACGGATATTAGATCCAGGCATTTTTTGTGCAGTAACATGTAAAACTTATTGGAGGGTTCTGCTCCCACCCTGCCACCACCACTTCCAGGTCCCCATCCCCGTCCACATCCGTCACCGCCATGCCGTAGTTGAGCTGGGTGGGGTTGTGCACGCTGTCCGGGGGCAGCAGAGTCTGTGTGACCACTCTGAGCATGGACTCGGAGTTCTGGCCATCGGACAGACGCCCGAGCGTGGCCAGGAGGAGAAGCAAGCCAGGGCCCCACATGACTGCAGCCTGAAGGGGCACAGAGGAAGATCTGTTCATGCAATTCAGCTGGATATGCAACCGCTCTCCTGTCAAATGGCTTTGTTACCTGTCCATCATCACAATTATTTAAAAGTGCAGTTTGTCATACTGAGATGAACGAGAGTTCAAAGATATTAAGAAAATCACAGGGTGAACTTCAGGTCATTCTTTTAAGCTTGCACTTATTTTTTAAATAGATGCAACAATAAATACTGCAGCATCCCATTTTAAAATTGAAATTCTTACAATTTTCTACTCATTGTAATGGCTTTAAAACATGTTTGCAGTTCATGCAGCATTTCAACATTTTTGTCCATAAATACAATAAATAAATCAGAGAAAATTATCTTGAATATGCCCTAAGATGTTTGCAAAGAACAAAGCTTTGCAATTCGTGCCTACTGTGCAGAATTGTCGCAGGCACTCCAAAATCTTAGTTCCATATGGTCCTTTATAACTTCTTACCGTGACAGTGATCAGAGATGCAGCTGATCAGACGTCCCTGCAAAGGAGCTGGTCTTCACGGGGATGGTTTCTATAACCTGGACAGGAGTTGTCGCCTTACAAAACAACTGGTTTGGTAAAGAGTTTATGAAACGGGTTGTGTAATGTGGAAGAGTGTGGCCAATCAGTGAGCAACCATCTGAATAAAAGGGGATGTTGACCAATGGGTAAGCTGCATTTACGGGAACATGTTGTTCCATGTGATTAGTTTGGAAAATCAAAACACACAATATCACCGAAAAATAAACAACAATATATACATATATATATATGACCATATCACAGTGTTCGACACTGACTCTGAAACACAAGACAGTTGATTGCATTTGAGTAGCCAAAGCGGAACTTTTCTCTTGGTCCACATTGGTTCCGGGTCGGTGCGGCAGTAGAACATCATCCCCCAGAATTCCGTGCGCTCACATCCGCTTGCGTCAGCTGTGCGACAAAAATCTGTTGTTAAACAAACGGAAAAGAGGTAAGCTGAAAGAGCAAATTGATGAAGACTGAAATCGATTTGAAGAAGCTGCACGGTTACAAACATTTGAATGTTAGTTATATATATTTATGTTATGAACACATGTCCTGTGAAAGGCTAAAGGAAAGAAGGATTAGCGAGTAAGTTAGCTAGCCGTAGCTCATCATTTACCAACGTAGCTAAATGAATGCGCTTTTCTCATTCGTAAATAGATATTAGCTTTTAAAGTTTAGAATGATGCATGTTTTAGCATTATAGATGTTTAAAGGGTTGTTATGAAACAGAATACTTCTTTTTGTACCTAGATATTGTGCCATGGAGGAGGACCAGCCAAAGGAAAGTGTTCCGATCGAGCCAACACCAACACAGCCCCCCCAGTCCAAGAAGCCAAATCAGGCTCTGTACGTCCCAAAACAGCGAATCCAGAGCTCTAAAAACAAACCGCAAGCTCAGGGGGAAGTCAAGCCGAGACCCAGACCTCGGTACACGGACAAGGCGAAAAAGAACGCTAAAAACAAGAAGGACAAGGCCGGAGCAGACCCGGCCGTTCCGGCTGGAGGAGGAGGAGGAGGAGGGGAAGGAGGAGAGGAAGGAGATGCCCAGAACAACGAGAATCAGCCTCAGCTGGAGGATGCAGGAGCCGCGGTCAATGGAAACAAATCAGAAGAGGAGGCTTCCTCACCTCTGAAGGAGAGCGAGGAGGAAGAGGAGAGCTGGGACACCCGGTTCAATGATGAAGGGGACTGTCTGGATCCACATCTATTAGGAGAGGTGAGAACTTGGAGTAAACTTAGGTGTCCCTCGACCTTCTCTTACATTAGTATGTACTAAAAAGGCACCGTAAAAGACTTTTTATGGAGTCTCCAGTTAGGGAAAATCATTTTTTCCTGCTTTGAGTGGAAGAGTTGACCTGATTAGAGTTGACAAAGAAGGAAAGTCAGTCCCAAAAATGTGGACCTTTTTCAAAATTCCCCGGGGATCGCACCTCTTTGGCTGGAGCTGAGGATGCTATTGTAATGGCCAACACATGTCTAAAAACACAACATTTTCATTGTGTTAAATGACTGTTTCTAGCTGCTACGCAGACTTCCAAAGCACAGGTGCCAGTGGTTTCCTGATTCACATCAGTGTGTCGTTAGCAGGCCTGTGCAGAGCTAAACGAGGTTTAGAACACATCCATTTTTATCCGAATCAAAAAAAATGTGCGAAATCTTTAGGACAGCAGCTCTCGAGGACAGGAGTTTGACACCACTGATGTGAAGGTTTGTTACATGCTGATTATTGAAACAGTTCTCACAAATGGCTTTTACTTATTTAGTACCAAGGTGAAGATGTTCTCAGAAAAAGCCAGGAACAAATGTAACTTAAAACAGAGATGAATCAGTCTGTATTAGAACTCTGAACTGTGATGTTGTGTTTTATGACTGTTATCTAACAGTTCAGGAAACAAGCGTGTTTTAGTGATAAATGTGTGATTTTTTTTTATTTTTTTTTCTAAACATCACAACAGCCAACTGCAGCTTTTCCCCTACACATCCTGTAATGTGTGAATGCTACAAACAAGTCAAAGAACCTACAGACTTAAGGAATAAATTATTGTAAACTAGGTTTAAAATGTCTCCTTCCCTCCCTTCTGCTTTACAGTTGGCTCTGGCGGGAGGTAGAAAGAAAGGTTCGATCCAGGAGGCGAGGTTCGACTACTACAACATGGACAGGGAAGACGACGAGGACGACATCGAACTCAGTGAGGACGAGCTGTCCCACATCGTGGAGATCTACGACTTTCCCACAGACTTCAAAAGCGATGACCTCCTGAAGCTATTCCAGTGTTACCAGTGTGTATTCTCTCTTTATTCTTTATGGAGAACGGGGTGCCTGTAGGCTAGGATTCACTCCAACGGCCCCTCCCTCAGTTTGAATGAGTGAGGACAGTGTGAGTCTTTATTGGAAGAGGTCAAATAGTTTATTTGGCTTCGTTAAGCATCATTATAAGACACAATCATCTACACTTTATCCTGAAACACACAACCTCTTACAACTTTCTGCTGATTGGCAGCTACACACACACACATATCCCATTGGTTTAAGTTGTTAGTCAATGAGCTCTGAGTGTAAATTTCTCAAACTTGAATGATTTTAGGTGCCTTTTTGTACCGGAAAGGCGTCGGTTATTGTGGAGAAACGCTCTGACTGGGTGTGATTGCTGTTTTCAGACAGAGAGGATTTGACCTAAAGTGGATCGATGACACACACGCCCTGGGCCTGTTCTCCAGCCCCATAACAGGTCAGTGAAGCTTTGCCTGACGTTTATTTCCAGTTACAGGACACAGAGGAGAACGATCTTTTAACAGATGAATTGTTTTGTCCCAATTGTTCTAGTAAAGAAGTCGGTGGATATTTGCTGATCTTTCTCAGTGAAAGAGTCAATACTGATTGGTTATTTGTTGTTTTATTTTATTCTCAGAACTATGAACATGTTGTCTTGCAAATGTGAGTTTGTCAGATGTGATTAGAAATTCAAAAACCTATAATGCCGTTGTCTTTTTTTTCATTTTTTATTCTTAGCTCGTGAAGCTCTGAGATCCAAACACCCACTCATGAAATTGAGACCACTCTCCAAGTCCTCTCCTGCCATAAAGGCCAAAGCCCGCAGCTGCTCAGGTACAAGTCTATCCATCTCATATTTTCTCCACCCTTTAACCTGAGAGAAGCATCTGAGCCGGGGCCCTGCAGGTTGTTTTGGATAAATAATAATCTGCTAAATACGTAAACCTAAAATTGAGAGAACACTCATTTTGTTTACTTTTTATGTCTACATCTCTCTGGTATTTCAGAATCAGAATCAGAATAAGGTTTATTGTCAAGTAGGTTTTTAGACTTACAAGGAATTTGCCTTGGTGTTTGGTGCACAACACAACACTTCTATGAGAAGCAAGAAATAAAATGTAGAAATAAAAATATAGGACAGAAATGATAAAACTGAAAAATACAATCTTTGAAAATATAGATCCGAATGTACAAATGAACAATTGAAATGTGCAACGACAGACCAGAAAATGCTGAAAGCATTGGGTAAATTAGTGAGGTAGAGGGGGGTGGGAGAAGAATAGGTGGGGGTCGCTGGCCTTGTTTTTAGACCGTTGACCTGCAGCGTTAGTGAGAATGCGATTGTCTGCTCCTGGTGTCCTCAGACTACCTGCTGCCCGCTAAGGAGCGGCCCCAGACCAGCGCGGCTCTGGCCCGGCAGCTGGTGATCGGGGCCCTGGGCGTCAGGAGCAACCTGAGCGAGGAGCGCCGCGAGGCCGAGAGGAAGAAACTCCAGGAGGCAAAAGGTGCCTCATGTCCACTTTATGTTCAAACTACAAATCTTTTTAATCTCTTTTCCTTACTCGCCATTTTTTGTGAGAGGTTTCTGTTCCTTTCTATTACACATATATTTTTTAAATCTATCTACGCTCTGATTTAAGACTAGGGGGATAAATTTTGTGCCAGTGTTTTCCTCTTAAACTGGATCTTCCATATGGTACGCGTACATTTCTCCTTTGATTCCCATCCCTGCTAGGGGTGTCCTGAGCCAGATTTTTTCACTTCTGATCCGATCCCAGCCTATCAGAGCATGTGTTAAAGTTTAAAGTTATTTATCTACTTACTTAGTTGTCAAACTCATGTTGAACAGGAATTTACTCTGATAACAACTTAATGGTTAGGACACAGACCTGTGGGTTAGGAGATGCTAATGCTAATGCTCGTGTGGGATCGGACTTTTAAAAACTGGATCTGGAGTCTGGATCTGCATTTTCTCCTGCTGGCCGATACGCATTTTTTTGCGAATATCGGCGGCCGATCGGATCCAGATATCGGATCGGGACCAGCCTAATTCCTGCTCTGGTAGCCTCAGATTGACAGACAACTAGTCCTTATTCGAGGCGCCTGCTGCTGAATATCCTGAAAAGTGCTTGAAATCAGCCCTGAAACAGAGAAAGAGTGAAAAGCTCAATAGTCTGTTGCATCACAGTCGTTCCTCCACAAGATGGCGCTGTTTGCGTGGCCGAACAGAAGGAAAGTCTTCAGGAGAGCTCCGTCCTTTTGCCCAGCACATCACAGCAGCTCTATAATCACTGTAGCAGCCATTTCCCTTCCAGAGGGAGCATAAGTATATAGGCCCAGAAAACCACAGCTGCTGTCCACCGAACAGTCAGTCCAGGAAGTCGGAGCCTTTTCAAACTAAAAACAGCTCCTTTGTTCCTAGCTTAGACGCGCTGCTGCGCCCTTTATGTAAGGTCCCTGCACGCTCAGGGAGTCCAGGCCCAGAAGTGCGTCGTGTGCTAAACGCCGTGTTCCTGGAAGAGATGCCACATGCGAGGATTTATTTCGCAGCTGGCTCTTCACTCTGCTATTCATATTTTTCACACAGCAGCCATATAAAGCTAAAAAAAGGAGCCGTTACTCCAAACGTCCTGTAACCTGCCTCAATCAAAATACCAAAGAGTTACAGGCTTCTGAGGCTGTTTACTCATCACCTTTTGTCTTCCTTTGGAGAAAGATTACAGCTTTAGGAAACCATGGAAATGTATTTTGGAAGCTAATTGCACCGGACAGGCTCTGAGTCGTGTTTTTGGTCGGAGAGGCCGCGCGCCACCAGCCTCCCGGAGACGCCGTGCCTGCCTTAAACTGACCAAAGTGATGAAACACGACATCCCAGACTGGAAGTCTCGGATCAGCTTAGTCACCGCTGACCGTCAGGCCGTTCCCGCCTGCTCTGACTGAAGTTATTTAAGTTAATGTTGCATCGTTGTCTACGGAAAAGCCAAAAACGCATCATAATCTTATTGTTTTTTCTTCAGAGCTGGTGGGAAATCCCAACTTTTCTGACACCGAGCCTAAACTCGCTATGATATTCCTTCATTTTACACCTTAATAACATTAATAACAAAGCCCTGTGCAGGTGCCAGCTGACGTCAATGGGTGGCAAAGTTGCACCATTGAGTGGGATTTAATATCAACCTCAAACTGTAAAATACCTCTAAATAAATCCTATTAAAATTATTTGTATTAAATAATGAAACGTCCTCTTTTTATAAGAGTTGTCAGCCACATTCAGACGTTAGTTTGGGCTCCTTTTGGGATAAACATAAAGCAGAAATCGGATCCTGCCGGGTTTCAGTGGAGGGATTGTTGCTGGGCTCTCCTGCTTCATGACCTCAGCAGTTCCTCGTATGTTCAAAAATAGCCGGGATGAAAACAAATCTTGGGAGAAAGTCTCTAATCACCGTAGAAAAGTTGCAACTGGACACGTTCAGGATGCAGCTCTCGGAGCGGCTGAAATTATGGGTAGCGACGCTAGAAAATGGGAGAGTCTGTAAATGATGCTGGCCTGTAGGACTGCTTCTGTCTGCCCTTTATGTGCTCAACCGTCTGCCATCTATCTTCCAGAACAAAAGCGCCTGGCTGCCAAGCAGAGGGAGGATGCCTGGGAGGGGAAGTGAACTACAGTGTTTGCCTGTTTTTTTTTTGTTTTTTTTGTTTTTAAGACTACTTGAAGCAGCGGAGGCTCAAAGTTGTCTCCTTTCTTTTTGTGAAATAAACGGATCCCTCCTGTTTTTCCTCCTCTTTACTACAAACCCTCATCACTGCTCGTCCTGTGGAGGTACCCGGGACCCGGCATCCATTCGGAGACTTTCTCTACTCATCCCATCATGTTTGGCTTTATTTTTCATTCATCTGAGTCCTTTGTTACAATGCAATGCATCATCATGCTCTTTATAAAACCCGTATGAGCAAAGTCTTCACTTTAGAGTAACACATTTGAATCCTCACTTCTGTGTCGTTTCGAGGCCTTTAAATGCTTCATCAGGCCTACATCTGTCTGGTCAAATCGAAAAGCTTATGATAACCTATTCATGTAGTCTTAAGAAAAGCTTTGAACTAAAAAATGTCGACGGTTTGTCATTTCAAAAGGGAGCATGTCCTCTGACTAATCATGGAGCAGCCAGTCTGCGTTTCTCCGATTATATCCTAAATATTTAACTCCAAGCAAAGCGCCACACTTACAGTTCATGTAGCTTTTGAAAAGAATTTACTGGACTAAAAGAGTGAATATTCACCAAGCTGTGTAACTCTTCCCCACTGTTCTGTGAGATATGAATTCATGTCTGTCACACTGATGTATTTTAGTAAATAAACGATTAAATTAAAGGCACAACTTCCAGTTTTTTGGTCATATTTGTTCTATTTGAGACGACTTTTGTCAACGCGAATATTAAAGAATATGTTTAGATCTATTCCTGAAAGGTGGACCAGACTTTTGGACCACAGAGTCTGTGGGGAGTCGGTGTAATCTGGCCTGACCTGCTCAGGTTGTGGATCTGCTCAGACGTTTCCTTATATCTATATTCTCTGGCAGCTGGAAGCAGTCGCCCCTCTGTGGTCTCACCCACAGACCACGTTTCTCTGTGACTCACTCACCTCCCGGGCCAATAATCACACCACGCTCAGCCAGCCGCCTTATAATAGGAGCTACAAATTTGTTATTTGTTCTGAGCCCTCGCATCAAAGCCAAATTTGCGAAATCCTTCTATTTGTCAGTTTTAAGCATCAAACATGATTACTGAGAAAATATATATGGTTAAGATTTAATCTCCATTCCCAAATCTAAGTCTGGTACCTATGATTCTGAGTTTATCAAGTTCTTTTTCAAGTAAGTTTAACTGGGTTTTTGATTGAGGAGTGAGATGTCTGAAATCCATAAATCATACATTTAAAAGTAGCTTTTCCAAAAAAGCAGTGCATGCTAATATTCAGCAGAGTAATGCCACTCACTGTTACTGTTGTTTTCAACCTGTTCTGCTTAGATCAGCATTCGTCCGTGGTTTAGTACCCCACCAGGAAAGCTGAGGGAGACCTTTATAAAATGCCACAACCTTTGACTGAGGCTGCTGTGCCGAATCGGAGCCGACTGCCAGAGAAACAAAACGGGAAAACGACAGGTTTGTGCTGGATTTGAAGACTTCAAAGTATGGTGGTGTTAAAGGTCAGTTTTTAAACCAGGGGAAGGATCTGAACCGGGTTCAGAGTCAGTGTCAGAGAGCCTGTTTGGTAACAGTCTTCTGGCTCAGGGTGACGTAGCTCTGCTCTGATGCCACGTAGCTCCCAGAGGCTTAATTGAAGTGCTGCAACCTCAGAGGAGGCATCCCCACATTTTCTTTTAAAATCCGCGGCTTTAAATGAGCACTGAGGAATTTGTGTTCATTATGAGCTCGCCTGGTTCCAGAGACGTTTTTGATTAGCTGATTTGGTGTTCTGAACCATATTTGTTGAGCATCTCATAATGGATTAAAAACATCTGACAGCTGGTGCTTTGCTCACATGGACACAACTCAATTACACACAACACACAACACAACACAATTAGCATGTAAATGTAAAAGTCTTCAGATTTGAGAACATTCTTGGCTCTTTAATAACTCTTTTAACTGTTTGTTGGGCTGTAATTTGCCCAGAATGAATTTACGGGAATGATAAAAAGAGCAAGATCAAACAGTGAAGAAGGGCAGTGATTTCTTTAAGACAAAAGTGGTGGACTGATCATGTGATTTGATGATGATGCAACTCCCTCATTCATTTGAAATGTTCTCGCTTTGGTTAAAAGTCTACAAGGAAAATATCTATCATTTCACCTTTGATTTCTTGCTAACGATCACCTCTAACCTCCCACATCTTCTAAAACCGGGGAACAAGATCTTGACTCTGTGTAGCTGCAGCATCCTTTAAGTTAGTGAATCACATTCTGCATCTGTGTGTTATAACCTAATCATTAAAGTAACTGCAGATAATTGTTAGAAATGAATACGGCAGAGGGAATAAGGGGTTAACTTTGATGAAGGTGAATGGTTGAATATTATGTCAAATGTGGGTAAAAACATCAGGGAAGCAAGAGGAAAATGTGTCACAGGTACCACTATACTTCTAGACTTCATAGGATGGGTTCAGCTGAAAATGGATGATGTTGGAAGTGCAAGGAAAAATATGGTACATATCTCCATACGCTCTGGGAGAGTTCTTATGTTCACCCATTTTGGTGCAAAATCCCTGGAATAACAGAAGAATGGCTGGTTTCTCACAGACTTTGCTTATTCGTAGACCAGTCAGTGGTACCAAGCATGTCAAACATTCACTGTGGTAAAACTATGTTGTGTCACAATGTTGAGAATTATTCTACGTAATTGGAAATGTGTGAAAACTTTGGAATTAAAAGACTGGGTCAATGCCGGGATTGAAGCAGCCTCCTATGAAAGCTGGAAAGGCTGAACGATGAGAAATAAATGATATGGTATGATTTCTGGGTCCTCATGATAGGGATATGAGAGGTATCTGATGACAGCCTTTTTATTTCTATTTCCATTTATTATTACTGCTATTTTCTGGAGCATATTTTCTGTTGGAGATGTCATGGTGGCGTATAGAGAAACTATGTACAACAGGACAATGTAACATACTATGTGGACCTTTTTGTGTGTGTTAAAAAAAGTTAGTGAATGGTCTTTCCTCCAGCTAAAAATTGGAATTTAAAAGAACAGTTAGTGAATGGTCTTTCCTCCAGCTAAAAATTGGAATTTAAAAGAACAGTTAGTGAATGGTCTTTCCTCCAGCTAAAAATTGGAATTCAAAAGAAAAGTTAGTGAATGGTCTTTCCTCCAGCTAAAAATTGGAATTTAAAAGAACAGTTAGTGAACGGTCTTTCCTCCGGCTGCCCACGTGGCCTTTGCTTTCATAACCGTCCTCCCTGACTCCCGGTGTGGGATCTGCTGCAAACGGAGACTCATTTTCCACAGACGACCTCCCTGTGCTGCGCTCCCGTCGTCGTGGGAGATCCGGGCCCTGCCCATAATCTCAGGCTTTGCTGCGGCTGATGGACCACAGAGCAGCCGTCAGATTAACAACACAAACACTCACCGCTGCTGAGGAACCCGTGCTGGTTCCACTGTTCCACAGACACACGGCACAGAAACACTTGATGTAACTCTGCAAATGAAGTTTAGGGCACGGTCCTAATAAAAGAGTCATCTGATGTCCCGTCGCAGTAAAGAGCCCCGTTAAAGACGGCTGGTGATGGTGCGTCTCCTAGCAACCAACTCTGTTAGATGACATACCTTAAACCAGCCTCCTCCTTTGAGGGGGTTGGCTTGTTTTATTTATTGAACAGGAAATAGAAAATGTGTGTGGTGAATAGGAAATATGCAAAATTATTTGACTCAAGGCTCTAGAAAAGGCTCTAAAACTTCACAGGCATTTCTGCTTTATGTTTGATGGTTTCTGTTTGTTGATTTTCTGTCGTTTGGGCTCTCAGGTTCTTCTGCTCTGGTTCAGCTATTGTTGGTTTTCGTTCTGTTTGTTTGTTTGTTTGTTTGTTTGTTTGTTTGTTTGTTTGTTTGCTTGGTTGGTTGGTTGGTTGGTTGGTTGGTTGTTTGTTTGGTTGGTTGGTTGGTTGGTTGGTTGGTTGGTTGGTTGGTTGGTTGGTTGGTTGTTTGGTTGGTTGTAAGTTGAGTAAGTTAAGCTGATTTTGCTTTGATTTGTTTGGTTAAAGCAGCTCTTTGGGATTTTATTCCAGGCTAGTAAACTGTGTTACTTCAGATTCTGTGTGGTCATTGGGAACAGATGACAGGAGAAGTTGGTGGAAGCAGACCTAGATTGGTTTTATAAAGCAGAATATGCCACAGTCTTAAGTCTGTGGGACAAAAAAAGCAGACCGTCTCAGCCAAATATTTAATATAAATCGATGTGAGAAGCATCAAAGGTGGACGATTCTGTGAACACCCACAGATAGAAATACGGGATCAGAAATGCTCTTTAGGAATTGAATTGCCATGAGGAATTGCATTTGGGAACAATTCAGTCAAAGAAATTCTAAATAACCATTTTCTGGATTTAATGTTTGACAGTGAGAGAAACATAAAGCACTAACCCAGAGATTTGAATTGGGGCTTAATCAGACATTTCCCCTTCCTCTGACCTCCACCTTAAAAACCTGTGTCTCAGATCACTCTAAGAATAGTAAAGCAGCTCATATCTTTATGGAGGTTGAGGTAGAGTTCAGGTATGAGCTCATTTCCCTTTGATTGTTTGCTTGTTTCTCACTGAGACTACCCAGAGACAAGGCTGACTTTCATTGAACTTGGAGGCCAGGAAACAAGAAAAAAGCCCATTAAGTTTGGGCCAAGATCCAAATGACTTCCTTTGAAAATAAAATAGCACTGGCACTGATGAGGGAAACACTCTTCCTGTCTCGCTACTGACTTTCAAGGACCAGATATATAAAAACAGAAAAGCAAAAATATGCTCTCTCTATCGTGGGGCAAATGTTAATGGACTATTGATGAGTCTAAAAAAAGAAAGCTGTATGAATTCAATAACAAATAATTACAGTAATGGCCGGAAAGGGCATTGTTTGGATGCTTTTTTTCTTCTTTATCAGTTTGAGTCACTTCCACAAACTCTATCTTTGATTTCTGATTTAGTTTTGCAGAAAAAATTGTGAACCAAATATCTTCAGTTTCTTAAACTTTCTTTTGAATCTTTTGGAGAAACTCTGGTAGTCTGATCTAGTCGGACTGTGAACTGTACATGAGGTAATAAAAGGAATTTCTTTTAACTCACTGGCACATATTTAATCCATTTCAGAAACCTTAGCCTTTGTTTTCCCCATCGGAAAAGTCCAAAGTCAAATAATCATTTCTCAAATGACCAAAGAGTTTGTCAATCTGACTTTTATTCTTCCATTACCATTACCAAGTAGTGTTAAGTGCAATGGCGTAGTACAACCAGATCTCACCTATTGTTACCTATGTCTAACAGGTAAAGCACAAACAACATAGAAGATGTTGTAATAAAAATGAACAATACAAATCATCTTAAAAGTACATTAAAATTCAGCATAAATTAGAGACCTGAAGAACAGTATTCCAGAGAGGTAATATAAAACTGTACATGACAATACATTTGCAATACAATACAATATTTATTCAAAAAAAGGCAAAATAGCACCAAAGGGGGGGTCTAGTTCAATGCCGAAAACACACAGTTTTGACAGTAAATACTGCAGTTTGCATGTACAGAGAGCACACGGTGGATCTTTTTTCCTCTCTTGTGCCTTCATGTTAGGTTTAACTGTGCTATGTTCCAAAGAAATGTACTAAAATAAAAACAAAAAAAAATCAAGACAGGTTGTAAACTACTCTATGTTTCATAAATCATGCTGACAGGATGCTGGTGACGTTTGTCTACTTTTTGTTTTGCTTTTCTTCCCCTTTATACTCCCCTTTTTCTTCCTTTTTTTTAAAGCTTCAACAGCTCCCAAAGGGGCTGACGACAAAACAAACAGGATCCTGAAGCCGTTTTTGCATCATGTCCATTGCTCTCCCTTTTTAAATTTGCTTTCCTCCGACCCAGTTCTCATTTTCTCATTTTCTCGTTGGCATGCCGTTGTCATCCTCCCTCCCCCGGCGTCTCCAGGTGTGGCCAGGACTTGTTCGGTGGCTCTGAAATCGAGGCGCCCCTTAAAAAATTCACAGGAAGTTGCTGGAAATCTGACGCTGGTGGTCGAACAGGTCCTCCACCTCTGCGCTGTAGGCGTCACCTGAGCAGAAAACAAGCACACACGGGTTGAGAAGTGGAACTTTTTAGAAACTGAGAGTTAAAACTCAGCTAACATCTGGAACAGTCTTCCTCTGCACATACACTGATCAGCGTAGAGCTCAACTTAAATTATAGATGAAAGCAAACCAGTCATGTGACCACTAAAATCTTAACATTTACTTGTGATGCTTATATTGTTTATTATATGCTCTTTTTTATGCATTTGCCTGCCTAGGGACTACGGAAAAAGAAAATTAGCTTTGTGGCTATAATCCGGCAAATTTACATTTGTTTTTGACTGATGTTCATTAATGTGCTTTGTCCCTATTCAAATAAATAAATAAATTAAATCAAATTTGAAAAAATTTAGCTTTGTAGCTATAATCCGGCATATTTACATTTGTTTTTGACTGATGTTCATTAATGTGCTTTGTCCCTATTCAAATAAATAAATAAATTAAATTAAATTTAAAAAAGAAAGAAGGTGTGGAGCAGTACCTGCATGGCAGCCGAAGAGGTAAACGCGAGCTCCGTCGTACTTGCAGCGGCAGCGCATCACATTGTTCTGGAAGTCCGACTCGGCCATGTCCAGGGAGGGGTTGACCTCCACCTGTAGAGGACCAGGGGACAGAGGGAGC